TCTTTTGAGCCTTTTCCCCCCCCCCCCCCCCCCCGTGTTCAACTGTGTTGTATATCTACTGACCAAGCAGAAAATCTAGCAGCAATTAGGATATTTGGGGATGGAAGAGTCTCTTCTGTGGTGGGTAATTACAACCTCAGAGGCCCTGATCACGGACTCAGTGGTAATGCTCATGGATGCAGCATCAGCCAGGGCAGGAATGCATGGGGCTGTGGAATTTGCAGAAACAAACTGCCCTGGTGCCATGTTCTTGCCACTGGTTATGAGACTGTAAATTATTTTCCCCTTTTTAGTGATAATAAAAGCCCCTTGTTGGACTTCTTGTTTAATTTGTATATGATGTATAAAAGACTTTCTTTGAAAGAAAATTCAAGGCATGGAATGTTTATATCTATGTGGACACTCTGCCCCTCTGCTTAACACAGGCCGTCAAACTGGATCACGGACACCTTATACAACGTATTGCGCAGGTAAGGGCCTTGATCTGGTGTTTTCTGCATGGATGTTAGGAACTATATAATGTTGTAAAAGAACACTTGTCACATGCTTGATCAGTACAGTGACAGCTGGAGAAACATTTCCTCAAATGTATCATTTTAATACGAATCGTGTTCCAGCTTCCCATACTGGTTGTATAATTTTAATAAAAACTGAGCTGTGCAAACCTTTCTCAATATTTCATTTCTATAGCCCAGCCTCTCCATTATGTTTCAAGCAGGAAAAGGACAGATTCACTACTGCATGGATTCACACTGAAATTTTTGTTTCTCTTCACGATCTGCTGTATAGGGTCTATATTCCTTTGGTTTCTGTCACCTGGTCCCAGCACAGTGCAACCCACAAAAACCTTCTTCTATGAAGCCTACTGAAGACAGTCCCCCTAGTAGGTGTTAGGTAGTGTGGAACAATAGCCAGTAGTCACCAGGAGTCATTGGGATTTGGATCTGGAGGAGAGGGTCACTGGCTGTTCTGACCTCATTCGTGGAAGCTGAAGTGTGCCCAAATGCCTTCTGCCT